GCATAGTACATAAATATGCATATACAATCACACACACATATGCATATAAAATCATTCAAAGTCCGTTAATATTGTTCAATCTATCTTTTATGAGCACTCTTTCACATGGAAACTTTAATCTGTACAGAACTGGTATGGTTCTATGGGACCTGAGAATCTGTTTTTCCTGATTTGTTACCAGCTTAAACTCAACAGTTTACTGGCCCATTAATTTGCCTTGATGTCTTTTCATCAAGATGGACGTAAAAATCTCAGCTATGTTATTGTGGCCTTGCTATTTATTCTTTGTTGCTCAGAGGCCAAGAAATTTTTTAAAAGCTGAAATCTGTGAAAGAAAATCTTTGACGTTGCATAGCAGATGGATTCTATGCTACAGCCAACTCTCAGTGGTGGGTTCAAATTTGATTTATATCTGTAAACTATTTAGGTTTCTTTGCCTGACATAACAGAATCTTTGCTTTGGCTTATTTCAATGCCTTATTCTCAGGAGTTCAAAATGGGAAATACAGTAGGTGGAAATCCTATTTCATGTATTTTTTCACTGCTTTTTCTACAGCAATTTATACGCAGGCATGCTTTTGCTGCCTCCTAACAAAGAGCCAAATCTTTATGAGTGAGAGACATTTTGTTTCCTAATCACAGACTGGAATGCTACTATCACCAGTGTTGTTCTATGTGCATCAGCAGCAATTTTCATCAGAAGGCATAAAATGTCCTAATCCTGGAGTCATGACATAGTTCTTTTCTATTTTATAATGTTTTCTTTTCTTTTCATGTCATTAATGTATTTCTATTATATCTTTATGTTTTACATTATATTATATTATGGCTTTATATATTTTATTCAGTTGCTTCTTTTCTCCATTTTTTAAATCTTAACTTTAATATAGCTGTTATCCTGCTTCCATGTTTTCACCTTGCTGACAAATGATCACAATTAAATAAAATGGACTTTGAAATTCACATACGAGCAGGTCCATATGTGTTGAGAGCTCATCCGACATTTAGCACCAGCTCCATCTGTGCCCATTCATGATCCCTGACAATAGAATTAATTTTGATCACACTGCATTTCCCTGAACCACAGAATATAAATAATGAATTCTTACAATCCATTCTGTTACTACTGTTCCTATAATCCAGATAACTCTCTCTTACGTTTAATGTGCTGATTTTACTGGCAGGAACTCTTAAGTACAGAAATCACATCAGAATAAGTTAATATTTGTACTTCTCTTGGGAGATGAGAATCTTACATAATAAGAGAACAAAACTGCATGCATAGAGTCCAAAAGGAGTACGCATCTCTACTGGTTAATATTCTACCCAGCCCTCTCACTGTCTGGTCCTTTACCCACATGACAGGGAAAAAAGTGTTGAAATTCTGACCCATAGAGAAGGTTACATATGACCCAATAAAATTAAGCCAATAATAATGAACAATTATAAAAGCGGATTAGTTTTCATCATTTGTGTTTAAATATTGCAGCAAAGTATGTATTGCAATTAAGACTGTCTCTTATTTTTCAATCCTTTTGCATCTTTTTATAATTCCCCAAGGCTTGGAACTCTAAAAATAAAACTCTAGCACAGTTATAGTAATTTAATTATTATTGTTTCATTTGGTCTTTATACTGATGCCATCTGTTTAATTATGTTTGTCAACTAAGTAGCTGTCTTCCAAGAAGTAAGGCAAGTCAGTCTGGGAAGCATGTAATTTAATTTATAGGAATCGTGGTACAAATATTCTAGGGCACATTATGTACACAATTATGTACATAGAGAACAAATGTCTAGCTTAAATTTACTCCTCACAATGGAATTATGTTTTATTTGCTTTTCAATATGCCTTTAATGTAAATGAAGCTTTTTCTTGTTTTTAATATCTCTTGTCAGCCACAACTCATTTTGAGCTTTAATTTTTCTAACCTAGTTCTTCAGTGTCTATATTCTTCTATGATATGCTTCTCCTTCCATTTCCTGTACCTGAAATACTTTTCTTTTAGCATTATAGAGAGCTACTCTCTAATCTCTTTAGATTTTCCCATGCTTATTTCTAGTAGGAATTGTCTGTGATTGCACATGCAGTATCTTTTTTGTATAACAAAGCCAAATTGCCTCCCTAATCTAGTTGTTCTTTTACTTTCAACCTTAAGCATTCTAGATCCATACAGTTAGCATGACTTTCCTTTGTGTGTATGTGTGTGTATGTTATATCAACAAGATATTGGAAGTCACTATAAAATCTCTGATTGGAGCATAAAGCAGGACCTCTGCAGTATTGATTGCTTTGGATTCATTCAACCAGTATAGGATTCAAACAATTCAATCTATCAATTTTTCAGAAGTTTCCAA